AATTTGCTTTATGCTGATGTATCTAGTTCTGAAAAGCTCTGGCTGTCTTGTGTTTTGTCATATATAGTCCGAGGTGTTGTACTTTGTTTTTGCTGGTAAAAAATTATATTATTCAACCATTGGCCAGTTTCTGTCCAAAGTGCTGTTGTGAGCATTACACTATTTGTATATTACAAACGTTTCACAAAACTGAAAACAAACTTAATGGTTGTGTTTAGAGGATCTCTTGTGTTCGCGATATTTTGAGAAACGTTAAACCAATGTTGTTTTCGGTCAAGAAAAGTGTAACGTTGAAAGCAAAACACGATTGGGCGGATATCCCTAGCGAGGGGTCTATATAAGGCATTCCTGTTCTTTTAATACAATATAAAATCGGTGTCGTTAAAGCAACTACAGTACGTGCCCAGAAGTTTGGCTCCTGTAATGATGGGCTAGCAATGCGCCGCTGAAGACTAGCCCCTGTATTCCCACAGATAACGGATGTTTCTCCTTTGTCAAACAGAGCAGTACGAGAGAACCCGTGAGAAGACCGAGCAGTGGCGTGAATTTCACTACGATGGGCTTTCCCCCTCCTACTACTACAATCGCCACTACAACTAGTTACACCGACACAGGGACACCGCGATGGAATGACAGCCGATGCTGGTGCCTTACTCAGACGTACAAGAATATTGCAGCTGTCAGAAGAAAATCAAGTTATTTTTGATGCAGCTTTACATATGGCGGCGCTGTAGTAAATCTAAGCTTTCTTAAACTTTTTTTCTGTAAAAAAAAAACGTAGACTGCGTTTAACATATTGTAAAAGTTAGATCTATTTTTGTCATTTGTCGAATACAGGTATACGGTATAAAGTAAACAATACAACTTTAATTACTATGTTTTTAATAGTTTGTTTTAAGATGTTTGTATCTTAAAAAAAAAAAGAAAACTGACCTGGAGTCTGTTGAAGAACGTGTTTCACATCTTTATATTTTGCTCCACGAAAAAAAAAAAATACAGGCAGTTTCAAGAGCCCCAAGCTCTGAATAAAAAGAGCCACGAGTCATTGAGAAATGCAGTGCAGGACATTATATTCCTGTTGTTCCTTTTCTATGGATTATTGGATTATGTACCGTGATCACATTAAAAAGAAACGAGAGTGCTCATGTTTTCTGAAGAGAATGCCTGTTTCTTTTTAATCTGATACTATATAGATTATGGTGATCTATACTGCATGTTGAGGTGACTGGTAAATGCGGGATCTTTTGGTTACATTTGATACTTTTGTGATTTATATTTTAACCTTGCATGTTGCAGGAACAATACTATATTGCAAGTCTCCATTTAATGAATGAATACTATAATATTAGCGAAAATAAATCTGAAACAAGACTCAAGCAATTAATAAGAACAAATACCTGCATAAAGCAGACCGCAGAGAGGTTGTCTAGATAATTTGAAATAATGTCAAATAGCGTAGTATTAACTGCTTCTTAAAACATCAGCCCAGTGTCCAGCCTGGAGTGATATTACACGCATGATTGTTTAAAAAGGTAAATATATCTATAAATACCAGTAAAATTAAAAACACCAGTAGATGCCAATCTTCTGACAATATTAAACAGACTATGTATCTGCTATGTAATGATAGAATAGCTAAAAAAAGACATTGTTGTCTGGTACACTTTTATCATGGCTATGAAATAAACATTGTATAAATTCTAAATGTGCATCTCTCTTCTTAAGCATTCTTACTGACAATAAATCACAATTTGTACAATTAGACGTTCAGTGAGGTAGTGGGTTATAGATGAGTAAGTTTCTACCTGACAATTCATATAAATCCTCAATTTATCTTTAGGTGCTTGATCACACAACACTGGTGTGACATATACAAAAAGTATATTGCCAGTACCTTTATAATAGTATTCACAAAACTATTAAATACT